CAGCAGCAGCAGCAGCAGTAGCTGTTGTGGGAGCAGCAGCAGCAGTTGCGGCAGTCGTTGTTGAACTAGCAACATTAGCAGCAGCTGTTGCAGCAAGTGCAGTTGTTATTGTAGCAGCAGCAGCAGCAGCAGCAGCAGCAGCAGCAGGAGCAACAGAAGCAGTACCAGCCCCACCGCCAGCAGCAGCAGTAGCCACTGCAGCAGCAGCAGCAGCGAGATCATAAATGTTGAAGCAGCTGCGGTTGCTGCTGCTGCTTTTGCTGCTGCTGCTGCTGCTGCTGCTGCTGCAGTCTTTGGTATCGGCACTGGGAGTTCCTCCACAAGAAGGCCGCAAGGAGCCCCACAACCCTGCAGGCCTCAGGTAAACCCTAAACCCTAAACCCTAAACCCTAATTTAGGGTTTTGAGCGGACAGTCTGGCGTCGCTTCGAACGAAGCAAGCCGCAGGACTTCAACGAAGCAAACAAAACACACAAAAGAAGCAAAACAAGCCGATTAAATTAAATTAATTGAATTAAATTAATTAAATAAATCAATTAATTAAATTAAATTAATTAAATTGAATTAATAAATAATTAAAATGACTTCAGGTACAAAAGAATTATTCTCTTGACCGACGCAGACGTCGACGGCGCCCACATCCGCAGTTTGCTGCTGTCGTTTTTTTTTCGATTTTATTTTTTTATTTTTAATTCCAAAAAACTTTTTGTTGCACTTCCTCCCCTTTACAAGGCTCGCCACCCCCCGCTGCCGCTGCTGCTGCTGCAGCAGCAGCTGCAGCAGCAGCAGCAGCAGCAGCAGCAGCAAACGCGAAGCGCCAGCAGCAGCAGCAGCAGCAGCAGCAGCAGCAGCAGCAGCAGGCTGGTGACAGAGACGTATATATGGAGCGATGCAGAGGCGCAGGCTCTTGCTGCTTTGGTGCAGCAGCAGCACCTCAGCAAGAAAGGAAAGCAGCAGCAGCAGCAGCAGCAGCAGCAGCAGCAGCAAGAGCTGGCGGCAGCGGCGGCGGGGGAGCCTGCAGCAGCAGCAGCAGCAGCAGCAAGCAGGGGGCTGCTGCTGCTGCAGCGCTTCAAAGGCCTCGGGGAAATGCAGCCGCAGCAACTTTGGGAAACAGCCATGAATCCAAAAACAAGAAAAGTCAAACAAGTCACTGTCAACGACCTCCAACGGGTAGGCTCAGCTAGCTAGCTGGGTAGTTGCTAGGTAGCTGGGTAGTTGCTAGGTAGCTGGCTGGCTAGCTAGCTAGCTGGGCAGTTGCTAGGTAGCTGGGTGGCTAGCTAGCTAGCTGGCTAGTAGCTAGCTAGGTGGCTAGCTAGCTGGCTGGCTAGCTGGCTGGCTAGCTAGCTGGCTAGGGAGCTAGCTAGCCAGCTACCTGGATACATTCCTCTCCAGCTATTTTGCTAGCTTGCTAGCTAGCTAGCTAAATAACTAGCTAACTAGCTAGCTAGCTAGCTAGCTAGCTAGTTAGCTAGTTAGCTAGCTAGCTAGTTAGCTAGTTAGCTAGCTAGCTAGCCGTTTGTTATCTTCAGTACAAATGTGCCCAGCTAGCCAGCAGCTAGCTAGCGCTGAGTCCATTTATTTATTTATGCTTTTATTTGTTTTATTTATTTTATTTATTTTTTATTTATTTAATTTGATTTATTTAATTTGATTTATTTTATTTATTTATTTATTTATTTATTTTGCCTGCTTTATCTTTTACTTGCGCTTGCCGCTAACCATCTAAACCCTAAACCCTGAACTTCAAACCCTAAACCCTAAACCCTAAACTTCAAACCCTAAACCCTAAACCCTAAACCCTAAACCCTTTTTTTTGCTTCAGGCCGAAGCCGCCGTGACCTCTTTGATGGGAGACGAGCCTTTCGAAAGGAGAAGACTGGTGCTGTCGCTAAACCCTAAACCCTAAACCCTAAACCCTAAACCCTAATTCGACTCCTACTACTTGCTTTTGCTGCGTAAGAGACAAGCAACTATGCAGCAGCAGCAGCAGCAGCAGCAGCTGCTGCTGCTGCTGCTGCTGCTGCAGTGTTGAGAAGCAAATAAATAAATGAAGCAGCAAGACAGCATAAAAAATAAAATGAGTAAATTAGCTTGGAAATAAACAGGGGCGTTCAGCAGCAGCAGCAGCAGCAGCAAAGCTGCTGCAAAGCTGCTGCTGCTGCTGCTGCTGCAGCAGCAAACAATACATGCTCAATTTGTTGCATTCTGGGAAACTGGGGAGCCCTTCAAAGCACAAAACCAAACCCTAAACCCTAAACCCTAAACCCTAGTTTCACCTCTCAGGCACTCTTGATATTCTTCCGGACCTGTGGAGGGTTTAGGGTTTAGGGTTTAGGGTTTGGGAAGTTTGCTTTTGTTGCACTTTTGATAAAAGACAAAAATGATAAAACAAAACCACAAATATGTGAACCCGCGAAATGGAAAGAAACGCTGCTGCTGCTGCGCTGCTGCTGCTGCGCTGCTGCTGCTGCGCTGCTGCTGCTGCTGCTGCTGCTGCTGCTGCTGCTGCTCAAATGATGGCCCTTGGACTGCCTCACTGTCCACTTAATTCCTCAAACGACATTTATAAACCCTAAAACAGGCACAGGGGCCCCCCCGGGGGCCCCAGGGGGCCCCCCTGGGGGCCCCCAAGGGGGCCCCCCTGGGGGCCCCCCTAAAACCCTTTTCTTTGACTACTTTAGGGGCCCCCAGCAAACCAAAACCCCTAACCCTTCTTGGGACCCTTCAAGGGGGCCCCCTACAACCCAAGTGCCCCCTTGGGGGCCCCTCGGGGGCCCCTAGGGGCCCCCAGGGGCCCCCCTGGGGGCCCCCAGGGGCCCCCCTGGGGGCCCCCAGGGGCCCCTAGGGGCCCCCTGGGGGCCCCCCGGGGGCCCCCCGGGGGCCCCCAAGGTAAGCTAGAGGGTCTCCTGGTCGCAGGGGTTTGTTCTGCAGCCTTTGCAGGAAGAGACTTGGCGTTTGTAAAGAGCCATTTGCTGCTGCAGCAGCTGCTGCAGCTGCTGCTTCTGCTGCTGCTGCTGCGGTGTTAGGGTCTGCTGCTGCGGCCGCGCGGCGGGCCCCTCACTGCGCTGCTGCTGCTGCTGCTGCTGCTGCTGCGGTGGCGTCGCAGCGCAGCCGAACGCACTGCTTTCTGTTTGCTGCTGCTGCTGCTGCTGCTGCTGCTGCTGCTGCAGCTGCTGCAGCAGCAGGGGGGCCGCTTCAGCAGCAGCAGGGGCCCCCTCCCATGCTGTGTAGGGAGGGTACTCAACTGAACCCTCCAGGGGGGCCCCCCAGGAACAGGGGTGGGCCCCAAAGGGGCCCCCCGGCCCCGGGGGGCCCCCCAGGGCCCCCAGGGGGCCCCTCGGGGGGCCCCCCAGGGGCCCCAGGGGGCCCCTCGGGGGGCCCCCCAGGGGCCCCAGGGGGCCCCTCGGGGGGCCCCCCAGCCTTAGGGTACTGTGGGGAGGGTTCAGGCGGGCCCTGGGGCCCCTGTGGGGCGAAGAAGACACAGATAAGTGTCTCTTGGGACGCAAGATTGCTGCTGCTGCTGCTGCTGCTGCTGCTGCTGTTGCTGCTGCTGCTGCTGCGGGAGCGCTGCTGCAAACGCTGCTGCTTCTGCTGCTGCTGCTGCTGTCCCCTGCTGCTGCTGCTGCTGCTGCTACTGGCCCGCCAAGAGACTCCTCCCGCAGGTGGTGGGACAGCAGACACGGGAAACTGTCCTTTCGCTTGCTGCTGCTGCTGCTGCTGCTGCTGCTGCTGCTGCTGCTGCTGCTGCTGCTGCTGCTGGGAACATTCCCCGTAGCAACGGAGAGACAATGCATGTGACAAAGAAGGGAGAAAGAAAGTGGACAGGCAGCTCAGGCGCTGCGGCTCCAAACCCTAAACCCTAAACCCTAAACCCTAAACCCTAAACCCCCAAGTACGAGCCCTTCATGGAAAGCGCGGGTGAACTCACTACTTCCTAGTCCTAAACCCTAAACCCTAAACCCTCAGGGGAGTGCGTGGCGCACTGTACGTGCGCGAATGGTTTAGGGTTTACGGTTTTGAATTGGGGTTTAGGGTTTAGGGTTTAGGGTTTACACCCTTTGAAACGGGCTGCCAGAGAGGTTATATAACAAGAGTATTAGTGCTGCTTTGGTGGAAATTAAAAGTGGAAAGCTGCTGCTGCTGCTGCGGCGGCGGTGCTGCTGCGCTGCTGCTGCTGCTGCTGCTGCATGCAGCAGCAGCAGCAACAGATGCTGCAGCTGCTGCTGCAGAAGCTGCAGCAGATGATGTCTTTCTTATTTGCTGCAGCGAAATTAAACTTTGAAAAACAAAAATTAATATATTAACTATAAGTGCAGCTCTTAGGCTGCTGCTGCTGCTGCATGAATTAAATGTTATTTTGGAAATAAATTAAATTAATTAAAAGCAAATAAACTTTTAAATTAATTCTGTTCGAGTTTAGCTGCGGCCAGCTTCGCAAAGCAGCCGCGCCCCTTCGGGGCTGAGCGGGCACCACCAAACCCTAAACCCTAAACCCTAAACCCTAATGGCTGCGTGAGGCCGTCGGCAGCCAACAAAAGTGGACAAAAACACGAAAAACATATGCCCTAGGGTTTAGGGTTTAGGAAACACGGCACAGTCCTCTCGCCTCTGAATCAAATAAAACCCTAAACCCTAAACCCTAGACAGGGCCCACAAACCCTCCCGTTTGCTCTCCTGGCAAACTAGCAAAACCACTAAACCCTAAACCCTCGCGAATGAGGCCCCCGGGGGCCCCCAAGGGGGGCCCCCCAGCAGGGGCTACTGGGGGGCCCCCGAGGGGGCCCCCCAGGGGGCCCCCAAGAAGGGCCCCAGGGGGCCCCCTAGGGGGGCCCCCAAGGCTATCTCTAGGGGGGCCCCTCAGGGGGCCCCTCAGGGGGCCCCCCGGGGCCCCCCCTGTGCGGCTTTTGAGTGCTGCTGCAGCAAATGGGTACGGAGGTGGGGCCGGGAACGGCCAGCTGCTGCTGCTGCTGCTGCTGCTGCTGCTGCTGCTGCTGCTGCTTCTGCTGCAGATGGTGCTTGGGCAGCTACTGCTGCTGTAGCTGCTGCAGCTGCTGCTGCTGCTGCAGCTGCTGGTTGGGCAGGCGCTGCTGCTGTAACTACTGCTGCTGCTGTAACTGCTGCTGCTGCTTGCGCTGCACCTGTAACTGCTGCTGCAGCTGCTGCCGTAACTGCTGCAGCTGCTGCTGCTGCTGCTGCAGGGTTGCGGCAGCGGGGCCCCAGCAGCAGGCAGCTGCAGCGCTGCAGCACCCCAGTAGTGCTGTTGCTGTTGCTGCTGCTGGCTGCTGCTCCAAGTGCCTGCAGATGCTTGCTGCTGCTGCTGCAGTAGCTGCTGCTGCAGCTGTTGGTGCTGCTGCTGCTGCTGCTGCAGCAGCAGGTGCTGGTGCTGCTCAGCCTGCTTGCACAGCTGCTGCTGCTCTTTGGGTGCAGCAGCAGCAGAATGGGTGAGGGCCTCCCGCTGTAATGCCTGCGGGGAATATTGCTGCTGCTGCTGCTGCTGCTGCTGCTGCTGCTGCTGGACCTGCTGCTGCAGGAGCTGCAGCTCCTGCTGCTGAAGCTGCTGCTGCTGTTCAGCTTGCTGCGCTCGCTGCGCATGAGAGGCATGCTGGCTCTGCTGCAGCAGCTGCTGCTGCTCTCGTTTTTGCTGCTGCTGTTGCTGCTGCAAAATGAAACTTACACTTCTAGAGGGCGCTTGCTGCAGCTCCCGCTGCAGCTGGCTTTCGTGCTGCTGCTGCTGCTGCTGCTGCTGCTGCTGCTTGGCGGCGTTGCCCAAGTGGCAGGCTCCGGATGGATATGATAAACTTTGCTGCTGCAGCCGCTCCTGGTGCTGCTGCTGCTGCTGCTGCTGCTGCAGCGGCTGCTGGTGTAATTGATGGAGCTGCTCGTGTGGCTGCTGCTGGTGCTGCTTCAGTCGCTGCTGCTGTTGGTGCTGCAGCAGCTGCTGCTGCTGCAATTGCTGCTGCTGTTGCTGTTGCTGCAGTTCCTGCTGCTGTTGCTGCTGCAGCTGCTGCTGCTGCTGTTGCTGCTGCTGATGCTGCTGCTGCAGTTGCTGTTGCTGCTGCTGCAGTTGCTGCTGCTGCTGCTGCTGCTGCCGTTTGCTGCTGAAGTCAACAAACAGCTGCTTCAGGTGAAGCAGCAGCTCCTGCGTCTCTGCAGCTGTGGGCAAAACCTCCTTTGGCTGCATCTGCTCCCACAACTGCAGCAGCAGATTTGCCGTCTTCTCTTGCTGCTGCTGCTGCTGCTGCTGCTGCTGCTGCTGGTGCTGCTGGTGCTGCTGCTGCTGAGACACTGGGGAATGCCTCGAAGCTTGATACGGTGCGGCTGCACCTGGAGTGACTGCTGCAGCTGCAGCTGCTGCTGCTGCTATATCTTCTGCAGCGCTTGGCTGCTGTTGCTGCTGCTGCTGCTGCTGCTGCTGCTGCTGCTGCTGTTGCTGTTGCGGTTCTTGAGTGCAGTCTAAGAGCCGCTGCACTAGGGACTCCATGTTGCTGCTGTCGACGCTGCGGCCAGTCTCGGCACTGTCTTGCTGCTGCTGCTGCTGCTGCTGCTGCTGCCGCTGCTGTTGCTGCTGCTGCTGCTGCTGCTGCAGGGGGTGCAGTACTGACGAGACGCCTGGGAGCAGCAGCCGCTGCTCGCGAAAGCCTTCATCTGCTACTGTCCTTGCTGCTTTTGCTGCCGCAGCAGCTGCTGCTGCTTCTGTCGTTGCTGCTTCTGCTGTTGCTGCTGCTGCTGCTGCTGCTGCTGTTGCTGCTGTTGCTGCTGTTGCTGCTGTGGGTGCGCAGCTGAAGGGCTCTTGATGAGGGCCTGCCACATATTGTGGGGCCTTGTCATAGGCGAGGCCGTTAGTGGCTTCTGCTGCTGCTGCTGCTGCTGCTGCTGCTGCTGCTGCTGCTGCTGCTTCTGCTGCTGCTTCTGCTGCTGCTGGCGCTGGTTGTCCTTTTGCTGCTGCCGCTTCTGCTGCTGCTGCTGCTGCTGCTGTTCTTGTTGCTGCTGCTGCTGCAGTTCCTGGCAGTGCAGGCACATCAGTGTAGGTACATCCCGAGCTCCTGTACTGTTGCTGCAAATGGGGAAACATGTGTTGCTGCTGCTGCAGTTGCTGCTGCTGCTGCAGTTGCTGCTGCTGCTGCAGTTGCTGCTGCTGCTGCAGTTGCTGCTGCTGCTGCAGTTGGTGCTGTTGCTGGAGCTGCTGCTGCTGCTGGAGTTGCTGATGCTGCTGGTGAAGTTGTTGCTGCTGCTGCAGCTGCTGTTGCTGCTGAAGAAAGGCGTCGGGCTGCCACAGCCTATGCTCTTCTTGCTGCTGCTGCTGTTGCTGCTGCTGCTGGTGCTGATCGTTCAAGGCCTGCTGCTCTGCTGGCACCAGCAGCAGCAGCAGCATCTGCATCTGCTGCTGCTGCTGCTGCTGCTGCTGCTGCTGGCTAAGTCCCCTCCAGTAACTTGCTTCTTCAGCAGCAGAAGAGACACAGCTGCTGCTCTCTTGTCTTCTTTTGCTGCTCATCTCCCGCATCAGCGAATCCAGCTCCCGCTTTACCTGCAGCAGCAGCAGCAGCAGCAGCAGCAGCAGCAGCAGCAGCAGCAGCAGCAGCAGCAGCAAATGCAATAAGTTAAATGGCCCCGAAAGGAGAAAAAAAGAAGAAAAGTAAAAAACAGAAAATGAAAAATAAAGAGACAAAACAAGAGACACAAAAAGACAGAAAAAGGTGCAAAAAAGGCAAAAAAAGCCAAAAAATGACAAAAAAAAGACAAAAAAAAGACCAAAAGAAATAAAAAAAACCAAATAAAGACAGAAAATGAAAAGCGAAAAGGAGACAAAGAGAGGGACAAAAAAGAGACAAAAAAGGGACAAAAAAGAGGACAAAAAAGGGAAAAAAGGAGAAAAAAAGACAAAAAAGAGGCAAAGGAGCGAAAAGAGGCAAAAAAGGCCCCAAAAGGATCCCCAAGCGCCGCAAAAAAGCCGAAAAAAGGAAAAAAAAAGCAAAAAGAAAGCAGCAAAGAAAAAGGGTTCAAAGGAGACAAAAAAGGAGAAAAAAAGAGACAAAAAAGGGGAAAAAAGAGACAAAAAAGGCGAAAATTAGCGAAAAATACCCAAAGAGAAGGCGGGCAAATCCTCTTAGCCCTTATAATTCGGTCTCCAATTTTCGCCGGTTTTGGTTTATCTCTAAAAATGTGAAAGTGACAATTTATTATCGACTGCACCAGCGGCTCGTATACAGCTGCAGCAGCAGCAGCAGCAGCAGCAGCAGCAGCAGCAGCAGCAGCAGCAGCAGCAGCAGCAGCAGCAGCGGCAGCGGTAGCAGAGGTAGCAGGCGTGAGGAGGAGGTGGGGGCAGTAGGGGAGCACAGCGAAAAGCAGAAGAGTGCACGACGGCTAGCTAGCTAGCTAGCTAGCTAGCTAGCTAGCTAGCTAGCCAGCTAGCTAGCTGGCTGGCTAGCTAGCTGGCTGGCTAGGTAGCTGGCTAGCTAGCTGACTGGTTAGTTAGCTAGCTAGCTAGGGACCATCGCTGCGAAAAGTTGGCCGCTTTTAATTACTGGCTAGCTAGCTAGCCAGCTAACCAGCTAGCCAGCTAGCTAGCTAGCCAGCTAGCTAGCTAGCCAGAATGAGGGTTAGGGCGCGTGGCTAGCTAGCCAACTCACCATGGCAGCAGTTAAATGACTATTTATTTTCCCTTCAATAAAGTCAAAAGGAATTTCATCCAAACATTCTCCAATTAAAGTTACATCTGCATAAAACGGCACACAAACCAAGTCCAGGGGGGCCCCCAGGGGCCCCCTGGGGGCCCCCCCTCCCGCGGGGGGCCCCCCCCCGAGGGGGCCCCCCCCCAGGGAGGGCCCCCCCAGGGGGGCCCCCACGGCTAGGGGGGGCCCCCCTAGGGGGGCCCCCACCAGGGGGCCCTCTAGGGGCCCCTCTTCCGTTTGGGGGGCCCCCAGGGGCCCCCTAGAGAGTCCCACTTCCCCTAGGGGGCCCCCCAGGGGCCCCCGAGAGGGTACTTCGTCCCCTAGGGGGGCCCCCAGGGGCCCCCGGGAGGGTACTCCTCCTAGGGGGGCCCCCCAGGGGGCAGGGGGTACAGGGGGGGCCCCCAAGTCTAGAGTTTGGGTACTGCTGGGTAAGGGGGCCCCCGAAAGAGGGTCTTGGAAAAGGGCCCCCAGGGGGCCCCCAAAGGGCAGTCGTTGGGGGGGCCCCACGGCGGGAGCAGCAGCAGCAGAACGCTCCTGCTGCTGCTGCTGCTGCTGCTGCTGGGAGGCGGCTTCGGGCGCTTGCTGCTGCTGCTGCTGCTGCTGCTGCTGCTGCTGCTGCTGCTGCTGCTGTTCTTCTGAGTGCAGCAAGCCCCAAATGTCAACGAGGCCTTCTTCCCGCCTTTGGCCCTGCCACGCAGCAGCAGCAGCAGCAGCAGCAGCAGCACCAGCAGCAGCAGCAGCAGCAGCAGCACTTGGCGCATCAGCGCTACCACTTACGCAATGGCTGCTGCTGCAGTCCTGCTGCTGCTGCTGCTGCTGCTGCTGCCGCTGGACAAAGCGGTCTGACTCCTGCTCGATTATAGCTCGTGTCATGGGGTCTTGCTGCTGCTGCTGCTGCTGCTGCTGCTGCTGCTGCTGCTGTTGCTGCTGCTGCTGTTGCCGGCCAAGCACATCCACGGGCGGGCCCGGGCCCGTTGCTGTGGCTGTTGTTGTTGCTGCTTCTGCTGCTGCTGCTGCTGCTGCTGCTGCTGCTGCTGGTCTCCCTGGACTGGCGCCTCCGCTGCGGAAGTCTTCGGGGCAGTGAATGCCTTGTAGCTGCAGCAGCAGCTTGTGCTGCTGCTGCTGCTGCTGCTGCTGCTGCTGCTGTGGGCATGCCTCCGCTTCCGTCGAAACAGTGCTGTCGCATGGAGTGCTGCTGCTGCTGCAGTAGCAGCAGCAGCAGCTGCTGCTGCTGCAGCATTTTGGCTGTGACAGAGCATGCACAAGTGGAGCTTCCAACACCTGCTGCTGCTGCTGCTGCTGCTGCTGCTGTGGTGCGCTATTCCCTGGAATCGGTGCTGCTGCTGCTCCCAGTGAGTCTTCCAGGGACAGCCGCGGCAGCAAACGACTTCTTCTTCTCCTGCTGCTGCTGCTGCTGCTGCTGCTGCTGCTGCTGCTGTTACTGATAGCTTTTAGTCTGTAGAGGCCTTGAGTGGAAGCTACCCTTTGCTGTTGCTGTTGGGGTTGCTGCTGCTGTTGCTGCTGCTGCTGTTGCTGCTGCTGCTGGTGGTCCTCCGCTCTCCCACCTCCAGCCCCAGCAGCACCCGCAGCAGCAGCAGCAGCAACAGCAGCAGCAGCAGCAGCAGCAGCAGTGGTTGTGGCTTGTTCCTTGCGGAGTCTCTTGAGTCTCTTTTGAAGAGAAGTTACATCTCGCTGCAGTCCTTGCTGCAGGGCGAACAGCAGCATCGAGGCCGCGCTGCAGCTGCACCCCGTGCTGCTGCTGCTGCTGCTGCTGCTGCTGCTGCTGCTGCAGCGGTGCTGCAGCAGCAACGCATCTTCTGCTGCAGTAAAGGGACGCGCAAGAGACAGCCGCCACTGGGCCAAAGGGTTCCGGAGGTCCTGAGGACACGCAGCAGCAAAGCGACGCCTCTTGCTGCTGCTGCTGTTGCTGCTGCTGCGGCTTTTGCTGCTGCTGCTGCTGTTGCTGCTGCTGCTGCTGTTGCTGCTGCTGCTGTTGCTGCTGCTGCTACCGCTGCTGCTGCTTCTCTCGGTGTTGCAGATCCGCTATCTAAGAAGCTAGTTAGCTGTGCACCTAGATGGCTATCTAGCTAGCTAGCTAGCTAGCTAGCTAGCCTGCTGTCTAGCTAGCTAGCCAGCTAGCTAGCTAGCAGGTAGGTTATAGGGGCCCTGGCTGCCTGCTGCCTAACTATATGCGCACGCAACTTGAATTGCAGCTAGCTAGCTAGCTAGCTAGCTAACTAGCTAGCTGACTAGCCAGCTGGCCATCTAGTTAGCTAGCTAGCTAGTTAGCTAGCCAGCTACCTGGCTAGCTAGCTAGCCAGCTAGTCAGCTAGGTAGCTAGCCAGCTACCTGGCTAGCCAGCTAGCTATCTAGCTAGCTAGTCAACTAGCCAACTAGCTAGCTAGCCAGCAAGCCATCTAGCTAGCTAGTCAGCTAGCTAGCTAGCTAGCTAGCTAGCTGGGTAGCTAGCTATCTAGCTAGCTAGGTAGCTAGCTAGCTAGCTGGTCAGCTAGCTAGCTAGCTAGGTAGCTAGCTAGCTAGCTAGCCACTGACCTTCGCCGCTTGCCACCTTCTCTGTAGAGCCCTGAATCTTTTGAGGAGCTGCTGCTGCTGCTTCCCAGGCAGCAGCAAATTGGAAATGAAATTAAAATGAAATCTGCCAACAGCAAGAAGTCCAAATCCCAAAAGCCTGTCTTCTGCTGCTGTGAAGACTCCGCGCTGCCGCCTGCAGCAGCAGCAGCAGCAGCAGCAGCAGCAGCAGCAGCAGCAGCGGCAGCAGCAGCAGCAGCAGCAAAAAGGGGAATTTGGATTTTTGGGGATTTCGCTGAAAAAAAGAATGTTTAGTTCAAATTTAATTATTTTTAAACTCTTTTCAGCTTTATGAATTTTTAATTTTATTTTTTATTTTTAGATTTAAAAATAAAATAAAATTAAAAGTTTATTTCCGCATTGCTCCTCAGTAGAGCTTTAGCAACAATAATAAAATTAATCAATTAATTAATTAATTATATTTATTTGTTTATTTATTTATTTATTTTATTTATTTATTTTAAAAATTAATTAAATAATTAATTGATTTCGAAATAAGCAGATGTTTGGAAAAAGGAAAATGCAGAGAAGGAAAAGACGAGAAAGAAGGGATAGAAAGAGGCACACAAGGAATTAACAAACTCACTAATTTAGGGTTTAGGGTTTAGGGTTTAGGGTTTAGGGTTTGGCTGAGCAACGAGGAGAGAAAACGAGCACGAGCCAAAAACGGAAAAGCGGGAAAAGCTCTTTGCCTACTCTTCCGCAGCAGCAGCAGCAGCAGGTTTAGCAGCAATTTGTTCTTCTCGTATTATCAAAGCTGGGTCTGCAAAGGGCTGCTGCAGCCGCAGAAACTCAAAGAGAGGATGCGGGTAAGAATTGTCTTCTTCTCTGCAAATAAATAAATAAATAAATAAATAAATAAATAAATAAATAAATAAATAAATATAATTAATTAATTAATTAATTAATTAATTTAATTAATTAATTAATTAATTAATTAAAATAAATTATTAAAAATGAACTTGCGAGGCTGTGGGCAGCAAAAAGCGCAAATCCAAAATACCCAAAATGGCAAATAAAAACAACAAAACAAAAAAACAAAAACAAGCAAATAAATAATAAATAAATAAATAAATAATAAATAAATAAATAATAAATAAATAATAAATAATAAATAAATAAATAAATAAATAAATAAATAAATAAATAAATAAATAAATAAATAAATAAATAATAAAGTCTGACTCCATCAGCAGCAAAAAGTGCTTCAGCTTCCGCAGCAGCGGCAAATCCAGGGCGCAGC